AAACCCAGGGACAGTGGCAAGGGGGGGGGTACAAAGCTGGCTGTCAAAATGGAAAACAAAGTAAAATCTAGTTTTCAATAATAAAGGTCCCGCTTCCTTTGGGAATAAAGTGTAGGATGTCCTGGTTAGTTTTGATTGATCACTCTCTTTTCTGATGGACTTTCACTACCGAGCTGGAAGGCAGCAACTAAGACTGCTCCCCAGACTCGGCATTAACCAGGGGTGCACTGACTTCCTGCCTCCTCTTCCTCCCCTGCTTCCTTCCACTGTGGCTCTCTGCCTTCCCTTTGCCAAGCCCTCCCCCCATCCCCCTGCTCCCATCAGAAATCCCCCCACCACAATCCCAGACAAGCACACACGGGTCACCACATCAGCCCTGGCTACAGAAAGGGGGTATCTTCCCCTCCACTTCTGATTCGCTAGGAAAAAAAAACCCAAAGCAAGAAATATGTATAATATGGCGTGCTTTATAATCATTTTTTCTAGGGCTTCCCCCCCACACACAATCAACAATTAAAATTAATAGCACTCTCCTCCCCCACCCCCCAAAAAGTGAAATGCCTCACAGTGGGGAGCTTTGGAATGAGTCCATCTTTTTATGTAATATTTTAGCAGGGTTGAGTTTTTTTACGCTTCCCCAGCACACTTTCCCTTCCTTCCTTCAAAACAGTTGCTCTGTGAACCCTCTCTAGTCCCAAGCAATGAAAATAAGCTCCCAAATCTACAAGAGCATAAATAACCCGGAAAAGAGAGGGAGAAAGAGAGAAAACAGGTAAAGAAAATGAAAAGGACTTACCGAGCAAACTTCCAGGGTTAGATTTTAAAATAAAAGAAGATGTTTTATTATTTTTTTAAAGGTGCATAGGAGGGGGGAGGCATATTCTCAACTCCCCAGAACCGATGCATCCTTAGTCTTCCCTTTACACTGACTCCTCTAAACCCAGCTCTCCACCAGTCTATTATTTTCACCAAAATATATGAAAATGTATGCAAATGAAAATCAGCACTAACTGTTCTCCCCTTGTTATATACTTTGGATTTTTTTTCCAGACAAAACAATCACACTAGGCAAAGGGAGGGGGCGGATGGGGTGGGGCTGGGGGGGGGAGGCTGGGGAGCTCGGGAGAACTAAGTACGCGGAAAGGGGGGAGGACGAAGGGGACAGACCTCGGAACAGAAGTGTATTTCTGTTATCGAGGAGCACAGCGTTTTGGGGGGCTTCCCATATGCACACACACCCTCCTTGAAAAGAAAGAAAGTGGATCTGTTTGCAGAGGCGCTATCACGTTTCATCAGGCCACCTGAGACTGCCTTTGAAAGCGTGTACTGTGAAATTCATAGCAGTAATTTAGACAAAATCCTCACTGTATATTAATGAAAGGCGGCCCCATGGCTCTGTTCCTATCCTCCCCATTCAGTGTAAACAAAACCACGAGACTCTCTCGGTTTTTGAGCCGGATCCAAGCAAAATCGGCAGGAAAGGAAAACACGGGGTGCTGGCACCGACTATTCAAACGTCTGCACCTGGAGATCTCAGATTTATTCAATGAAATCTGTGTTCCATCTTTTATATATACATATACACATACATAAATATAAAAAAGGAACGTTAGGGGGACGTAGAGGGGGGAAAATCCGTTGTGTTTGGGGTTTGGTTACCTCTGCCTTTCAGATCTGTACCTTAGCAATAATGGCTTTGCTAAAAACCTACCTACGGCGGTATCTCTCACCCGGCAATCAGGAGCTGGACGAGATCCTACAGAAATCCTACGCGTCTACTGTTAATCTTGAGATCACGCAAAGGCGTAGCTTGCGGCTGGGCTGGAGAGCTCTAGCTTTAACTGAGTTCACCTAACTGCGTTCAGCCAGAGGAATTATTCATCGGGAGAGGGCAGCCCCGTTCACAGCTTAATCGGAGCACACCGGCGGCTCCGCATCTACCTCCAGGGCCGCCGCGGCGCCGCTGGAGCTCAGGACTGCCGGCTTCAGGAGCAGGCTGGGGGCGACTGGCGCAGGGCTGGCGCACCCGCAGCCAGGGGTGCGGGGCGCACGCCCACGCACACTCATTAGGAACGATGTATTTATTGAATGTCCGAGTTGGGTTAGTTCATTGGAAATCCCCGAGGAGGGTTCAATTTGCCCTTGTTTTCGTTGCCACTTTCTCTTTTTTCTTGGTTCGCTGAGGTTCCTCTGTGCAGCGTTTCCGCTTGGCCGCGTCCCCCCACCCCCGCTTCTCCCGCCTACCCTGCGCGCGCCCCCTCCCGTCCCCCTTAACTCTTTCAGCCTGGCTGGGGCTGAGACAGCGTTTGTCGCCGCCAGCCCATCCACTACGCAAACCCATCTGAAACAGAAAAGAAAGAAAAAGCACCACTGTGTCTAAGAATAGCGAGCAAGCAAAACACCACTAATAACCATAGAGGGGGGAAAATACACACACACACACACACACACATATACACACACGCACAATGTAAGCGGTGGAGGGCGCGGCTAGTGGATCCCGGTTCTTTAGGCCGGCTCCTGCTGCAGTGGGAATTCCCGGAGCCATTGGGTGGAATACACTTACGATGGATCTATGGGGAAAGGTCGAGCTGATTGCTTTTCAAATACATCGCAGGGCTCTGCTGACCGGCACCCTCCAAACACACAAGGACACGCTCGCTACTTGCTTGACTCCCAGAGGAGGGGGGAGGGAAGAAGGGAGGGAGAGCGGAGAGGCAGAGAGGGGGTGGGGGAGAGAGCGAGCCGCGGCAGCTAGCGGTCCGTCTCGCACGCGCGGGCACCGCGCTGGTCCTGGGCTGCAGGTTTCCTAGATGATGGCATCCGAGAACTTAAACAAAGGGGGACGCCGCCGGCGCAAAGCGGCTGCGGAAAGTTGCGGTGGCGGATTTCCAAGGAGCGCGGCCACGACCCGAGCCCTTGGCGATGCGAGCTCTCCCTTTCCACCCCCGCCGAGACAGAGACGGGGGCCGGCTGGTGAAGGAAAAAGGAAACTTTGAAACCACTGGGGATACATCAGCCTATAGGTATTAGCGTGAATGGTGCATCCATGCCGCGCGCTTTACAAATCTCTGGGATGGGGGTGGGGGGCGGGGAGGACGGCAACACAACGCAGTACTAGGTGAAGTGGATAGGTTGCTATTTTTCATGATTTTTTTTCCCCTCTTCATTTTCCTTCTGATTCTAACTCCCCCCCCTTTCTCCCATCCCTCCCTCCCTTTTCTCTCCCCTTTCATCCCTCCCCCCCCCCTCCGCCCCAGACTGGTAACGAACGCCCTGAGCCGCGGAGAGAACGCCAACCTCTCGGCCGGACACTAAGAGTTAAGATGTGGTGGAGGGGGTGGCGGGGGAGGGGCGGAGAGGAGAAAGTGGCGAGGGGGAGGGAGGCTGGGCGGGGGTGGGGGGGGGGGACGACAGATTTCCAGCTTCTACGACGCTCTGCCTAAATTAAAAAGCAACCAATCGGAACGGCCGGAAGGGGGGCCGCGCGTCCTGAGCCAGTCATTCTGGGCCTGCCAATCACCCAGCGGGTAGCCAATCAGCGGGGGCCCTGGTGCTCGACTTCCTTGTATTTGGGAAAGTGTGGTGGTGGGTGCGCGCTCGCGGCGGAGGGTAAACATTCGACAGTCCCTGCTCTGAGAGGGAGGGACAGAGAGCGAACTGTCAGATCCCAGCGAGAGCAGGCGGGCGAGAGAGGGAGAGGGGGAGAGAGAGAGAGAGAGGGAGGGAGAGGGAAAGTGAGAGAGGGAGAGAGAGCGCGAACGAGGGCGCAGAGCGAGCTCCCGCTGCAACTCCGCTCCGGCTCGGCCAGCGCCAGCGCCGTCGGTGCACTCTACGAGCCGTGCAACGTGCCCGCTGGAGTTGGTTGTGTACCAAGGATCCCCTATATGCACACACACACCTCCACCTCCACCAATGCACTCTTCTTCCTCCTCCTCCTCCAGACAACTGCTGGGAAAAAAATAAAACACCAACCCCAACCGTCAGCAACAAGGTAACAGAGCCATTCGACCTCATTTTTCTCCTGTTCAATTTTTTCCTTGTTATATTTGTTTCCTAATTTCTGCCCAAAAGGAAAGATGTCGCATCAGACTGTGACTGTTGCGAGGAGAATGAAAAAGGACTCTTGTTTCAGAGGCAACCAAGAGCTCCGGCAATAGCAACTTCAGAGAAATGCACCATCGCAAGAAGTTTTCCTAGGACAGAACAAAACTTGAAACGAAAGGACCAGAGGAGGAGAGCAGGAGCCCGCCTCTCCTCTCCGCACACGCGAGCAGCCAGCATCACCACGCCTTCAAGGACGAAAAAAGTTTTACTACTCTAAAGGAAAACCAGTGAAATGTGTTCCTGAGGAGAAGAGAAGAGAGCGGGCAAGGGAAGGAGCGGTCCGGTTGCTGGTCATCCATAATTTGGTTAAGGAAGAAAGGAACGGCTGCTTTCTTTGTTGTCTGCCGTGAAACCTTCACTTAGCAGGTGGACTGAGCCCCGCGCCCGGGCAGAGTCCGCACTCGCCAGAGGACAGCAGGAGGAGCGGGAGCCGGCGCGCCCCGCCAAAGAGCCCGGAGCGCAGGCCCGCGCCCCGCCGGGTGAGCCCCGCTGGAGCGAGCGGAACGCGCCGGGGCTGGGGGGCGGCCACGACCCCCCCTGAAGGGGGCGGCCACGGAGCGCGCCCCGAGAAGCGAGCCCCCCTCCCCAGAGCGCTGCTCCTGCTGCTGCTGCTGCTGCTGCTGCTGACCAAGGCCGGCCGGCGACCCCCGCGCCCTGCCGAGCGGCCTTGCAGCTGCAGCCGGGGGCCGCGGCGGCGGCGGCGGCGGCGGGGGCGGAGGCGGCGGAGGAGGAGGCGGCGGCGAAGGCGGCGGGGCCGGCCGGGGCCCGGGGCGGGGGCGGGGGAGGAGGGGG